AATTGTATCTGTTCCCTAGATTTACATTCTACACTGGCGCCTCCTTTTCTCGGCTTTTTCGACGTGGAAGGCTCAGACAGCGGACTCGCAAGATCATTTTCTTGATGACTCTTGGAGCTTTGCACAAGCGATGCGTCATATATCCATTTTCTCAATGTCACGAAAAGATCTTTCGCTTTTGACCACTAGTAACGGTCTGAAGCAACTCGGCTTTGAAGCTTGAAGAAGATCATCCGGTGTGACTGTAAAATAATTGAAAGACACTTAAAGCTGAAATGAATCGATTACATGGGCGAAATTGAATCATTAATTCAGCTATTCAGAACATGCACCGATTTTTTTGCTTAGAAAATGCGTTACGCAGTATTTTCGGATTTGGTCATCAGCAGCGGAATTTTCAGTTATCGAAAAAATGTCGACCTACCGACGCTGATCTTCGATGAATATCGGAACCGCTTTTCTTGGGAAGGCAATCGAAAACTTCGGAGAACGCATATAACAAAACTCACCGTTTCTGGATAAAGCACAGCCATAAGCACGAACATTTGTATGACCGTCCCACCAACTTCTTTTAGCGGCAAATCTTCAGGAGATTCATAGAAGGAATCCTCATAATCCTCTGGCTTTTTTAAATCCCAAATTGTATTGAAACAAAGCCAAAGATTCCATTCGGCCTTTTCGAATTCTTCCACAATTTTAAAAAAGAAATGTCGTTCTTCCTTAGTTGCGCTGCGATATCGAGTGGGTACCATATTCGCATAGTACCATATTTGTGTAGGATGATAGATTTGCATCCAAAACTATACTATTTGAAATCCACTCCAATCATGAATCCAGTGGTTCATGGCAGATATTTATTTCAGGATTCAATACATACACTGAACGCATTCTGTCCGGTCCACTTGGCAAACGAATACACACGCACGATCAACCAACACCCACAAAGAATTTAATTTTAAAATTACTGTACGTCCGGCTGAAGCGAAGTGCTGTACACCTGAGGAACTTTTGGTTTTCAACCAAGTCAAAACAATTCTTCGAGAATCTAAAACCGTTTGGAGTACTGATCTCACAATAAACAGCTTTGTCAGACACATGAGACAGAGAAGCAATTTGGTCAGCAACCTTCCATCGCACGGTGAATCCAAGACCACTTGACGAGATCGAAAATCATAGCAATGAGAAGGATTGGAACTCGAATGCCTCAATCTTCACCAACGTCCACCACCCGGGTTTTGGGGCGGGAAGAAACGAGGCTGTTCCCGGCGCCAGGCGGGAGCTGCGGCCATGAGCGGTGTCGGAGGGGCTGGAGCTCTCATTCGTGGGCCATTATTCCAATTGCCAGGTGGTGTCCAGTCTGCAATTTCATAAATCGGATCAATTTTTTAGGTACGAAAGCAGCCACAACCCAAATGAGATTGAAAATGTGAAAACATCATAGCTAGTTTTTTTTCAACAGGTTAAAATACTTCAAAATATAACTCTTCATGTAAAATACTGTGCTCACCGTCAGGTCCTTCCGGGTAGGAAGCTCGATCATCTGCATCTGGAATTGGGCCACGAAATCTAGCTCCATCGAATCCTCGAGGTCCATTTCCGTCACCCACTCTCGGAGGATTGGCAGAATATGAACTAGGGCCTGCAAATAAAAAGCTAGATTAATATCCGAATCTTGATAATGGTGCATACACACGCGAACAAGTTAACATAAAAATGCTGCTTACTCTGAGGGGTTTTCAAGAACTCATTCTTAAACAGCCGTCATCATTTCTGCCACTCTAACTCTAAAATTGCTATAAAAGAATCACAACTGTGAATACTGCTGGAAAGTTCAAAATATAATTCTCTTAATTAGGGGACATATGATAAATCACTTCAGAAATCCATAAGAATCATATCAAACCCCAAACGCATCTTCAAAAAGGCTCATGAGCACACTAGCACACAATAAAACAATACTTCGAAGCAATCAAATGGAATTTTGGATGCCACAGCTCAGAATAAATTATACTGTATCATGACTGCCAGTGACATCTGGACACGCTATAAGAGTTCTTGTAAAATAAACAAAGACTTGTACAGTATTAATGGATTACGGATAAATATACATGGCACATTTCTGGGCAATTTTCATTTCGTCTCGGTGCTCCATGGACACATAGAATTACAGTGACTTGTTTTCATCATGATACACTTGCATTGGCATGTGCTGTACAGTATTTCAATGCTGAAAAATATTTTCACAGCGAAGAATGTATTTTCCTTTGACATCCATTCTTTAAATTTAACTAGAAGGAATTGTAATCTTGAAATGTTAAAGCTAACCTCAAAATGAGCGCACTCAAATTCTCCTCAATCCCAATTTCACACTCACTCCAACTTTATCAAGGCAGACCGATCTCCTAGACATGCAATATCTCAATTTTTCCCTGCCCTAAAATCTGACGGCTCCAAAGCTCAGCACCAATTGTATCAAGCTCATAATTTAAATTCATAAACGGATTTCCACGACAACTCACCCATCATGCGCATTCGGGGGCCTGCAACTGGAGGCGGCGGCGCCAGGTTCAAGCCAGGCTGCCAATCGTCGCCCCAATTTCCGCCAAGTTTTTCCGGCCCAGGTCCTTCGTTCCAATTATTGCCACGCTTTTCTGGCCCAGGTCCTTCGTTCCAATTGTTCCCACGCTTTTCTGGCCCAGGTCCTTCGTTCCAATTGTTACCACGCTTTTCTGGCCCTGGTCCTTCGTTCCAATTGTTACCACGCTTTTCCGGCCCCGGTCCTTCACCCGTCCATTGCGGTTTGTTGAAGTTCCCTCCGCTGGCAGCGGGACCCTGCGAGTTTGCCCACGGTCTATCTCCACCTTGCGACGAAAACCCCGTAGAGGGTGGACCTTGTGACGAAAACCCCGTAGAGGGTGGACCTTGTGACGAAAACCCCATAGAGGGTGGGACCTACGACGTGAATAAAAATATGACGAACAAATACTTTCGTTATTTCCATTGATGGTCATTTGGTCGTTATTCCATTGACACAGGTAAGAGGAAAGCATTAAAAAAAAGTAACAACGGGTTCTGAAAGGACGTGAAAGACTAATAAGGCAAATGAACCCTTACCTATAAGTTCAGTATCCTGCCAACTCATTGAAGAAGTAATTTAAATCCCAGAATATCACCAATTACATTTACCTGTAATCCTTTTTTTACACATAAAAAGCTGGTTTCCCTAACTCGACATCTCGCCAAATATTTTTGATGTCTACTATTTTCGATGGTCCCTTGAAATTTGACTAAAAGTGGCTTGACTGTGATGCAGAACAATACTATGGTAATTTTTACTTGATTTCTAAGTTCCATAGGCTAGATCGCCACGGTCATTCAAAAAACAAAAACATTCCTCAATAAAACGTAGAAAAATTGCAGAAATTTTCATTTTAAATTCCAATTTCAAGAATTACTTTTTTTTCAAGAAATTCATTCAACTCTCGAATTATCCCCATTACATACAACCCTCTTGCATGGGAAGAAAAAATTTCTCAATTACCCCAGCAGGCGTGGATTGAATCGGGGGTCGCGGGGCAGCTGCCGCGGCCTTGGCCTGCTTAGCTTCCACTTCTTCTCGCGCGGCTTCCGCAGCCAATCTTTTGGCTGCAGCCTGTTTGGCCTTCGCCTCCTCGGCTTTCTTCTCGACTTCAGCCAACTCCGCCTTGCTCAATGCCTTCTTCACATCCACCCATCTTTCTCCGATTCGATGCTCATGACGGTACAACAAACACTTGTCCACCGAGTCAGGGTCTGCAAACTGCACAAACCCGAATCCCCTTTTCCGACCTGGACAGAAATACCGATTGAAGTACATGATACGATCACCTCGTCAACGGATTACTATATTTAGCGTGAAAATTAAGACATCACCGAGTCAGAGAGGTACAATCACTCGGTACGTCATAAAACGTTTTACTTATAATTTCAAGAAGGCAGTGTCACTTGCTTCCGAATACGACGGGAACTAATGTTCTGTACTGTACTAAAGTTCCTGCAAAGTATCTCATCATTTCTTCAAAAACATTGGAAACTTCGAAAATATTGAAAAATTAGACACCACCGTGTCAAAGGGACAGTAATGTAATTCGGTACGACATCAGAAAGCTTGCTGACAATTTCTATAAGGCAGTGCCACTTGCTTCAGAATACAAAGGGAAGTACGGTATAGTACAGTACTGCCGTGTACTACAATTTTGCGAAGTATCTTGTCATTTCTTCAAAAATATTTAGATACAGTACTTCTCTTTTAAGGAACTGTAGAGGACATCCGTTTTTCAAGTATTGTATCGTGGGCATTCAAGCAATAAAATTGAATTTTCGGAAGTACGAATGAATTTTGAAGAAAATTTTCCGGGGATACCAATGCGTCTGCGTTTAAAATACGGTAAATATGTTTAAATAACTATCCGTATTTTAACCTGGCAGATCAAAAATTTCCTAGAAGAATAAATTCGCCAGATCCAACATGCTTATTCTGGCTTTCAGTTTCTTGAACAATATTTCCATCTAATCACGGTTTAAACTTGACTCTGATAATAAATATGTTCAACAAGATATTGCGTCATTTTTTTCGTTTTAAAATTCCGCTGGCGATGACGCTGTCGTACCTGTTCCTTTGTCATTGACGAGAGCCACAGAAACGACGCTTCCGTAGTTTTGAAAATGCTGTTCAATGTCGGCTTCGGTCATTTCCTCTCTCACGGCGCCCACGAAAATTTTGGTGGTGACCACGGTGGATTCTGGACGTCCCACGTCTTCGTTCGGCACTGGTCGTTTCACTTCAATGCTCCTCCCATCGATACGATGCGGACGGCACGACATGACACGATCCACACAAGCCGCGTCCGGGAAAATCACGAATGCGAAGCCTTTCGACCTGCGAAACACGAAGTAGGCGTCTTAATGAAGATTATGCAAGAAAAATTGGAAGCTAGAGACAAAGAAAATAAGTTAACAGTTGACAACTCGCCAAAAGGGACTCGAATAACTTTTATTTTTACTAATTTTCCATAATTTTTTAAAAACTTCAACGCAGGAAAATGTTTAAAATTGTATCGCCTAGAATCCCTAGATCCTCTTTCTGTCCAACATTGATCGTATCGCATTTTTGCCTTCATTTAAAAAATTATGAAATGGCATTTGCAATGCAATCTTCTGCTCAACAGATGATACTGCGCTACAATTTGTATCCACATTAAAATTTTAGTCCTTTCTTCTAATAATTTTTCATTTGTCACACAGTATCATAGTTCTAAAAATATCAAAATCTGAAATGCGATAAAATTATAGACATTTCCATATGCTGCAATTTTTCAAAATAATGAAAAATTACTAAAAAAATTAATTCGAGTTTTTGGAAAATCGAAAATTATACATGAGTGATTGGTGGCCTTCTAACGTCGTCGATGAGCATTATTAAAAATCTTAGGATTAGGCTTAATTCCTGAAGTTATAATATCAAAATTCGGAAGAACTAAATTACTCGGAATATTTTTCTCAAACTAAGCGCTAGTTTCTTCTCTCGAGTGGTTGCACGAATGCTTGGCACAATTGATGCTGAAATAAACACTACAGTAATCGAAGCACAGAAAATGCCTTTTAAACCTGCTCCTACCCAGAAGGATCATTTCCAGAAAAAACAAAGAAATTGCATAATCGAGTGCTTCATCAAAGCAAAATCAACTCAAGTCGGTCTCAGACTCACTTCTTGGTTTTAGGGTCTCGCAAGACGAAGGAGTCGTCCAATGCACTCCATTTGGAGAAGTAACTCGCCAAAGCATCTTCATCCGTATTCGGCCCTATTCCACCAAGGAAAACCTTCCTTAAATTCTCCGGCGTGTTTCTACCCTGCGAGGGGGAAAAAAAAAGTGTATGCTGCACAATCGGAGCGGACATTGAATTATCTTCACTCACCTGGCCGACCCGTGTTTCACCCATCTTTCCCTCAAGTTTAATATCACTTTCCAGGAGCACACTCACATGGGCAGAGTTCCTGCAAAAATCTGAATTCACGAAGCGTCAGCAAGAACGTTCAAATACACAAAAAAACTACAGCGTTATTCACGCGCAACTAGACCCTCAAAAGTGTAAATTTGATTAGAGGGAAATAAGGAATTTCAAGATGAAATTAAGGATCATTCAAGCTGTTTGCTTTCCTGATTGATCTATAATTTGGGCACGATTAATCGGATCCCAGATAGGCAGACTACTATAGTATTAAACAATTAAGAACACATAATCATTCTAGTGTCAACGGAAGGCGAGACGAAACGAGAGAAAACATTTGGCATTTTCTGATGAAAATAACGAGCTTAAAAAGGGGGCGGGGGGAGGAAATGAGACTTAGTACACAGACAGTGGTTTTCTAGAGAGGTCAAGTACAGTTAACTTTTACAAACCTCAGGACAAAAATTATTATTCTCACCTTGTTAGACTTAGTACAACAAATAGTTGAGGAAAAACACGAGGGAATTACCCCCAAACCAAAACGACAATTTCCAATTTCCTCTCCGAACACTTGATGGGATGATTTCGGGACTTTTTCCTTTCTTTGCTTTTTAAATTCCCATCTTACTTCGACAATTTATGCCCCACATGTTCATAAATCTGGGAAATACTGTAGTTCTTGTGGGTCTTGTAGCGTTTGAATCAACCTGTGCGAGAACGACTGTTTCAATCAATTTCCATCACGAATCCACTTTATCGTTCATAACTCGTTCACTTTATCGTTCATTTCTCGAGACGGAAATGGCCAATTAACGCAAGCGTATTTCTACGGAAAAGTTACCGCCTCTTCAAAAATCACAAGTTCGTGATTTTCTTCTTTAGTGCTCAACAACACAGAGTATCTTCGATTCAATTCCCTCGATGATACGAAAAGTTGCGAGACACTTGGCACCACGAACAGGGATTCCGTAATCGTTCCATTCGCAAGTCGCAAAACGAATGTACACCCGTAAGCAACAGGATCACTCTATTAGAATCGCCCTCTTTTCTCGGCGTAAAAAAATGAAAATTACTTTTCGTTTCTTACATTATGGATAACTCCAAAATTCTCAGCATTCCGTGGATAAAAATGCATCATTGGGAAACCATTACAACCCTCGTAATAAGAATACTTCAAGTTCAGTAGAATGTTAACTCAAGTACCAAAGCTAGAAGCAGCCGTAGGATAAAACGACGAAAAAATCTATTTGGACGTCTGCTTCCTTCAAGAAACACGCTTGAGAACAAAATAGAGCGCCCAGTGATCAGAAGGGAAACTTTGTAAACCAGGAACTTTCACAATTCCTTGGAGACCAAAAGTTTCCGGAGCCACCACGGAAGTTTTCTGTGCAACATACGCCCGATCGAATCGCAATCGTGCGCCGGTTTTAGGGTTGAAATAGCCGCAATTTTGATTCCTTCTCGCGTCCCAAGTGTATCGCAAATGTTCCTTTGCCCCGCAAGCTTCCCACATATCTCGGGCATCTTTCGGCACACCGACATTCACGACCTAACGGAGAAAGCCGGGGAAAGAAAACGGTTTTTAGATCTGAAAAGCAGAAAGTCTTCAATGATGAAAGCTATGACAGAATCCTCATAATAAATTATGCTTGGTAAAATTTACCAAAATAGAAAGCATTTTCACTTCAACTCCCGCAAAATAGGTTTCTATTTTTTGTTTTACAGGTTTTGAAGGAATTTTCTTCAGGTAAGGCTGCATATAGTATTTAAAAAAATGATGAAGTAGGTCAAGGTTTTTTAGTTTAGAACTTCACAATACTCAGTTCACAAAGCCGACTTTCCAGTATATCATTGGAATTGAGTACTGTACTATGTCTTTGATCAGAGCTGCAGGTCGAAATTTCGAAGAAATTTTAATTTTGATTGCTTGCGGCGCAGATATATAACATTGTACCTTTGCATGTTGAAGGTTCCCCAAGAAAATAAAATGAATTGTCCAACTTGGTTTGGACGAGGATATTTCTCGATAAAGAGAAAAATCATAACAATTCGCATCCATCAACTTTTTAAAAGTTATACAAAACAAATTTGAAGCGTTCGATTCCAAAAATGATTCCAAATAATTCACAAGGGAACGGGTCACCCGTAAAAATTATGAAGGAATTACTTCGGTGTCACGAAGGTTCAGGTCTCCAGCAAACACGCATACGGAGTTCGGACCACGAAGACAATCCTCCATGATTGAAAAACCACGCTTGAGTTGAACCTGACGCTCTTCGGCGAAATCTTTCGTTGATTCCAAATGTGTGTTAATCAAAGTAAGGGGAAACTCCGAAAAGTTTCCGTGTTCCTTCATTTTTACCTAAGAATAAAAAGAAAAAAACATTTATTCTTATGAACATCGCCAACAGAATAGAGTAATTGTGATTTTACTGGTGCCGACAGTTCAAGTTAATTCAAATCGCGTTTCGTCTTACACGCATTAAAAAAAACTGAAGCGGAAGTAATTAGCTTACATGAGAATACGGCTTCTAGTTTATTGGAAGACCCCCAAAAGTAACCTCAGCTGAAATATAAATGAATAATCATCATACCAGTCACTGTACAAGCAAGTTTTTCACTGTTCCGATTATATCCCGATCGCAAGGAAAAAAAAAATATTTATCAGATGAAAAAATATTCAAGACACTATATCAAATATAAAGGACGCGCAAGAATTAAAATTCTGAATTGTAACGAATTATTCTATGCAAGAATTCCCCGTACAATGCAATATTTGAATTTTCATTTGACTAGATCTGAAACCGCGACAAGAAAATAAGAAGACTTACCCGGGTTATCTGCAATCCTCTCCCCATTCGCGAACCCGGAAACGGCTTCCAAATAGGATTGGAATACTCGAACTTCGCAGTTTTCCTAATACACGTCGCGACTTCATACTCCAGATCTCCCTCGTAGGCTTTGGGTTCCTTGGCAACAGCTACATGGTATTTGTCGCTCAGTCTGTTTCTCAAGATGCTCAACGCAGGAGCTGTCACCTCTTGAAGTAAAGCGAAATCCACACGAAAGCTGAAAAGTAACGAACATAGTATCGCGTCATTCCTACAGAAATTTAATAATATACTCACTCAATAATATACTTGACCACGCATTCAGTCCGCTTTTCTAGGTTCCGCTCTGAAAGGCCGTCGATGTTCCATGAGAAAAATTTGATGATGCCATAGTCCTCTTCGGAAACTATGACAACCTCGCCGGAATCCGTTCGATGACGTTTCCTTGGCGGCTCTCCTCCAGGCGGAACGGTAACAGGTCTCAGCATAAAATTTATTTCCGCGGATCGACCATCTTCGCCGATGTCAAGCACCGACTCGATAAGATCTGCTCGTGGTTTGCTGCCAGCAGCTGGCCCTTTTTGAAAAAACTCGTTCACGGACCTCTGGACATTCAAGAAAAAAAGTTTAAAAACTTGAACGGTACTTTCTGATCCATGAGTAAAAAAAGGGGATGATACACTTCTTTCCGTTCGGTCGTGCAGTATAGAGCTTCTCCAAGTTACTACTGTATCCGGCTTTAATCCTATTTTCAGAAGCATTGCCCAAAAATAAGCAACTTACCTAGCCCAACACTCAATTTCCTCATTACTTTACTCGGGGACTTACAAATTCAAACGTTGTATACAGATGGACTCTATCTACAACGAAATTCAAGGGACCAGAAAAATTCGTTGTAAAGCGAATTTCACTGTAGACAATCCCTTTAAAATGGGAAAGAACCCCATGGAACCAAAAACATTTGCTGCACAGAGAAAATCGTTGCAGACAGTCCACCTGTATTCTCATCCTCCTAATCGAAGACGGATTTTCGGACAATTGATCCCTAGTTTTCTCAGCCTCGGTGATTTCACAAAATGATATTACTGCCTCTTGAAATAGAATGAATAAAATTTATTATATTATTATACAGTACTTAACTCGTATGTCCTCATATGAAGATACAACGAAAATACGGCCAAGTTCATCGTAGAAAGAAAATATAATACTTTCGGGGTAACACAATGTTAGTGGCTCCAATAGCCCAATGCGTTCAGTAAAGGCTTTACAAATTTGTTCGAAATGGACGTCCTGAAGTAGATGATTTCCTGAACACAGATGATATAAAAGTTTTGAGAAAATTCCCTCGACCACTCAATTAGCTTCAACTGCAAAATGAAGAGCTCTTGGACTTTAGTACGGTTACGAGCAACAAACTTCAAAACGGGCAATTAAGGGTGAATGCAGTTTCACGGGAAAACAAAATTGTTAAGATTGAAAGTGTATAAAAATATACGAATTTTGCTACATTGAAGGAGATTATATATCACCTCCAAATCCCATCCACGTCTCTGAAGGAACATTTGAGCAAAGGCTTGATCGGTTTGGGTGACGGAGACAAACTCGTCAATTCTCTCCTGACACGTCTCCGCATCCGGAACGTCTTCATCACTGAGATCATCGTCACTACTCAAGGTCACCAATTCACTCATCTGTTCGATTTCCTGAACATAAATCGCACTTTAGTACGAATGAATCAGAAATTTTTCGATGTCGTGGAAAACGAAAAAGGAACAGTCCCCAAGAATACACACGGTGATTTCTCGCTTGGAATTTTTAAAAGGAATGAAAATCGGAAAAATCTGAAAAGATTCTGCTCTAGGGTCAACTACCAAATATCGCACACATAGAAGTATCTTAAAAAAAAACGTAAGCCTATACCATTACCCTGTCACTTCCAACTGCCGTTCGTCCTTCGAAAAAAAAGTTCGTATTCTTACGTCAAAAGAAATGCAAAGAAGATGAATAAAATTCATCTTTACTGAATAGAAAAAGGAAGACACTGCTTCCAAGAATATGAGGCAGTGCACATGACATATTACTGCGCACGCGTACTCTCACGGAAGATGACAAAATCAGCAACCACTGAAAATGGAACAAAAAATTGTAGAAAAACCTGATACAGGACAGAAATCTAGTTCCTTTGTCGGCGGCGTGAAGTACAATCATGATAAATACAGTACAACGATCAATGATCATTTCGAAAGCCTAACCGAGATTTTACGCCCTAGCTGGTTTCTTTGCGAGAATATCACCGCATGTTGTAAAAGCTCACATTCAGAAAACGCATGTATATTAGCAGCACGTCTCTCCCCATCAGTAATACAACTGAAAAATAAGTAATGGCGGGTAAAAATCCCTCCAACAAACGAACAAAAAGAAAACAGAAGCACACAAACACTTTTTTTCCCATTCTGAACGTACGTGTCTAACTGCACACTCGGACGACAGGACCGCAATCTTTGGTCTTCCGCAATAAACCCTGCTCTGTACACACACACGTATTAAAATTAAACCATCAGAACCGCTTTTCGTCGCCTTTCCTTTAAATCATCGCTCGTAATGGTTCAACGTTTAAGAAATTCAGTTAATGAAAACAAATCGTTAACAGGGGAACGCAGAGTTCTCTACACCGACGAATGCTACTGGCTCAAGATAATTCCAACCGTCCAGTCAAGTCACTCAACAAAAAAAAAACGCAAATCTGCGACTCGGCAGGCAAAATTTTATCCAAAAAAAGTCGGTTCCTTGTTAACATTAACTCAGGCGGACCCTGAGGAAACCCTCTTCCTGCTTTGTACCGAACATGAACATTCAGTGGGCAAAATACTCGTGGTTCTTCCTCTAAATAAACGTACTTTCCTCGTCATCTCCATCCAAAAGTAACTGACTCGCGTCGTCTCCTGGCGGCGGAGACGGAGTTACACCGCGGAACATCCTTTCCACCTCTTGGTCGTCCGATTGTGTCGTGCTTTCCCCTTCCACTGGGTCTTGGAGCATTTCTGGCGCGATCGGCGGAGCTCTCGCAATTTCTGTAATTCAACCAGATTTACAATATGCCGAAATGCGTCGACTTGAGAAAAGGATACCTCTGAATACGTCATGGAAAGCAGGCGGGATGTGCATCAACGCCTGATTGATCTGTTCGTCCGTAGCGTTACATTCTTCCAATCCTGAAATATGCAAATGTGAAGTCTCTGGACCAAAGTTGGGCTAAGAAAAAAATATATACCATGAGCTAGAGACATTTTCTTCAGAATGCCGAAATCGTCACTCAGCTCAAACACGTCAGAGAACGACAGCAAATACTCAGATCTGCAATGAAAATTTGCTTATAAATTGATTGATTTTTCAAGTAAGGCAAAACGTTTCACCACCACACTAGGAAATAAGAATGTCGCGGAGTTTTCTGGATGAAAATATCGCGCATCAAATAACACGAATACAATACTTTCAGGGTGAAATAACGCCATCAGGAATATTTGATGCGTACTTATCATCACTATCAATATGGAACTGCAATGTCACTCTTGCGAACTTGTCTGTTAAAATTGTTCAGGAATTTCAGATCAGTGATTAAGTATCAACACAAATTTCTGCTAAATAGAAATTCGGTACAAATGATTTGCAAGTATTTAACGCAGTTATGGATTCAGGACTCTCACGTCATTGGACGTAATTCCCTGCATACAATACCTTTACGGGTAACCAATGCACAACTGAACAAATGAGCTATAGATCGGCAAACACTAAAATTAGCAATTAAATTTGATACAGTTTTTGCATACCTATCCTGTGAAATGTTGCAATCGATGACGGTATCTTTCGGGGTCGATATGACCAAGAATGGAATCGGCAAGCGATTCTGCGGCCCATTCGCAATCCCATCCGGCTGAGATGAAGACCCTTCTCCGGATCCATTCATCTTATGCATCCTCTCACTGTTCTTCGCGACAAGATTTTTAAAACAAATAATCTGAATGAAACGGGAAAGAAAATCAGGTTAATAAAATCAAAGTTGCATTCATAGCTTTTCAGCGTACTTGAAGCAAAAGTTCGTAGAGCGTGTGTCGTTTCTGAAGATTCGCTCGCGTCAAGTTCTCTTTCTCTTCTAATAATTTTCGGTAGGATTGGTCCGAATGAGTCGGCAGCCCAAGCCAACGAATTTCCTTCTTTTCTTTGGTTATCATTCCCATCGCCATCAAAACGTTCAAGGCGTCATAAACGCGACGGCGGATGTTCTTCTGGTCGAACTTCGAAGAGATGTAAGACACGCAAAGTCAGAAAAATTGACCTTAGCAAAAGCTACGAATAAGAGTTCCTGTTTACACGCCACAAATATCGACGAAAAATATCGAATTGCAAGACACACTTATTTCGCTAAAATAATTTCAAAAAAATCAGGGCAGGGCGTCTCGGATAAATTATCGTTTTATTTTACTTTCTGGCGTCTCGGCTTCGAATATATGACATGATTGCTCGAAACAGCTTTTTTTTAACTTTATTTATATTTGTATTTGAGCAGATGCTGATTGTCATTTTAAATTCAAGCGCAGAAAGGTTCGGATGCCGGAAAGTCGATAATTTCGAAGTGTCAAGCTAGTGACCGAATCATCAAATTAAGACTGCTCTGATTCTCAATAAATGGAATGTAAATTTAGTCCATCTCGCATTAACGACCAAAATTTGGAATGCCAAAAAAGGTACATCTCATAAACAATTAAATGTAGTACTTACGCGATTGGAAGCTTGTTCTACTGAGATCTGGTTGTCCGATAATTCTAAAACTAGCTCGTCCGCTACTTCATTATAAGTTGTCGTTTTCTTCTTCCAAACTTTCTGGCAAACTCGATGGGAGAAGTCTCGCAATCCCTTGGAGCTAGTTTTTTCCAACCTCTGTTTTTTCCTGTTGAAAGAAAACTCATTTGATTCTGAAAAAAACGTTGAATGTTGACTTTCAACTTACGCATCAGACGCACTGTCAGCCGCTTCATCGTTCGCGCGGCGTTTCTTGGGAGTCGTGGTGGTCGGATCCACGATGGAAAACGTTATGCCACTTTTAGCAAGAGGTTTAATGGAAGTTTGTTTCTTCGACAAAGAAACCTCGTCTATGGCGGCTATGGCCTTGTTGACTATGTCTCGCGAGGAACTGACTCCATTTCTTTCAGAGGAGCCCCTAGACTTATTCGTCGTGTGCACAAGCTCGGGCATGGAAATCTGGCGCGGGGAAGCGGGGCGGCCGAAAACTGCTTGAATGCCAGATGACGTGGCTCCATCAGATTTAGGTTCTGTCTTCACAACGAATCGTTTCTTGGGCTCCATCGCTACACCCGATGATACAACAGTTGTACCTTGCGCAGCATTGGTGGTGGGGGCAAGCTTGAGCGTAACAACGTTACGAAAAGCGGTTGAGGGGATTGTCACGGGTTTTCCCGTGGCAAGCACTGCGGCAGCAACAGGCGGCAAAATGCCGGACTGCGTAAGAGTTGCAAGCGTTTCCGCATTACTGGAGGGAATCGAAAAACTTTTATTTGAAGCATTTCCAGCTGAAAAGAGTTGAATTTGTTGAGGTTGCGCTCCGCTTGTAATAACTGTACAAGCGCCTTGAGATGCGCCGCTCATACGTGGAATCGTCACCACTTCTGCGAATTAACCGAGAAAATTAGTAGGCACGATGTAATCACGACATCGGTATCGTATAAACGTACTTGGAACATTGGCAAGACCTTGAAGTCCTTTGGCGTTCCGAATCGGAATCGACTGAAGCACCTGTCCCTGACTATTGACAATGTTTGCCTGAAGCAGGACAAAACTTTCGGAATTTGAACATATTTTCAACGAGGTACCAAACTTACGCAATTGAAGTTGACGTTATCCAGAGATATTCCAGCTTTCATAAGACTTTGGATGTTTATGGTATTCGGCGGATTTGAGCCGGCCATGATGCTGACGAGTACTCGGAGTACTTGAGCAAGACGCCCAAGAATTGAGCGAAAACGCTCGCGATATTTCCTCACCAGTTCGCAAATACGTTGAAAAAATTTCCGAAGTTTCACAATCACGCGCGATACGAAGGTAAGGAATCAGCAACGAGAACGACCGAATCGTTCAAATACGCGTTCAAACGAAAGCTATTCGCTGTCGCCTTCAGCGACCAGAGATCCAGGCGACAGCCACGTAAACGAGATTCTTCAGGAAACTTAACATGCACCTTCTATCATATATTTCAATCACTGAAAAAGTGAATAGACTCGACCTCTCATTGAGTGACTTTGACTGCAATGCTTTGGTGGTGTAAAATGTTAACAGAGACTGCCAGGGACAAATAACATAGTGCACATATAAAAACACCTTTTTTAAATAAATAAAATATATGGTACTTACCTGTTATCTCTGTACCTCATTCCTAGACCACACTATACCATCCAGACAAATCTTTAGGACAAATTCATAAACACCACAGATGTGAATTTTATTTCTCTGCATTCTGCTGAAACAGACTTTGGGAGGCGGTTAGGTAAAATTAGGTTAGATCAGGTTATGTTAATTAAAGAAATTTGATATTTAGGAGGCAGTTAGGTAAAGTTAGGTTAGGTCAGGTTATATTATTGAAATATATTTGTAACTAACATAACCTGACCTAACCAAACTTTACCTAACCACTTCCCAAAATCAGTTTCAGCAGAATGCAGAAAATAAAATTCACAGTTTCTGGTAGGTTCTTGTGATTATGAACTTGTCCTGAAGATTTGTCTGGATGGTAGTGCAGTCTAGTAATGAGGTAAAGAGATAACAGGAAAGTACTGTATTGAATATTATGTTTTCTTCCTACTCCAACACAATTCTTCAACATGTAATTCCTATCTGCTGCAAGCATGCGCAGTTTATGAAGTCACTCATTTTTGGTGTTGATGGATGGAGTGGTAGGGAACAGCCCTCTGGAGGAGCAGCATGGAAGTGAGTTGCTAGGAGTTCGAAGGTGTACCTTAACGTCCGGTCACCCAGGTCGCTCGAACAGTACTTTACAATTCAGTACAGTATTGTCTGTGGTGACCGGACGTTACTGTACTGACAATACTGTACTGAATTGTACAGTACTGTTCGAGCGACCTGCGGTAATATGTGCAAATGTCGTACTTGTTATAAATACT